AGAGCAGAGGGCCGCGGAGCTGTACTGGCTCCTGTACTGGGGAAGTGCTCTGCAGCGACCGGAGTCCTCTGCCCAAGGGCACCTCTCTCGCCGCCGCCTTGGCAGAAAGCAGCTCCTGCTGCTCCAGGGCCGAGGCTGTTCCCTGCAGGGTCCGAGACCCACATTTAATTGGGTCTGCTCCGTGATCGTAACGCGTCACCTGAAATTCCGTTTGGTGTCCTCCTGGCATTGTTTCAGACGCTTATTGGGTATGCCAGCTTTCGTGGGAGGGTGCTTAGTTGTCTAACTGTGCTTGCGGTGTTTGAGGGCGAGGAGAAGCCCAGGTAAAGCACTCAGTGAAATCCGTTTGGGAATTAAGATGATGGGATGTGGCGTCCTCTCTCTGGCTGCTGGGAGTTTCCTCTCTGCAGTTTGCCGGTGTGTCTGTAATGGCCCTCCTGAAACGAGGGTTCTCCATCCAGCTCTCCAAAGCAGTGCCAGAGAACTGGATTTCTTTTGTCTCCAGCTTTTCAGCACGAGCGTTCGACGTTTGTAAATGTTACAGGCAAGATAGCGCCGGCGATACCAGGCTGCTGAGCGCGGAACGGGGCTGCTGTTTGTTTTTCCAATAACCAACCATATTTATCACCTTATTTTCTTTTCTACTTTCCTAGCCACGTAGAGATTAAAATTTCTTTGTTGAAAAAAAACTATGCATGACCCTTCATGTGACTTAAATTTTTATTTTTTTTTTCCCCAAACTCCAAAGATCCAAGATTTTGCCCTGACAAAGAAGTGCTTCTGAGATGGCTTTTACCTTCGGTGAGGTCTGTCAGGCGTTGTCAAAACCTACACAACAGTTGATGGGTGCTTCTTAGTTACAGTTTCTCTTGATGGAGGTGAAGTTGGTGGTATCCAGAGTTCAGCTCGTTTTGCTGGTGAGGATGTTCCCGCGGGAAGCGGCTGCTCCCGGCTTTCCGAATCGCACGCCCTTTTTCTTGCACGTGAGCTCCTTTTCGGAAGGCGACGTCGCTCTCCCTGCAGCGTGCACATCCTCCGTGGCAGCACCGTTCCCCGGGCAGATCTCAGGGCGCTGCCTTGCCCGTGCGGGGATTCGAGCCCAGCTGGAGAAAGGGCAGTGACCTCAGCGTCACGTTTCTGTCTCCCGCCTACAGTCGGGCGCCGTGTCGGTTGGCTTGGAAGCACGTGGCACGCGCTCGCCGCGGGCCCGCGCCGGAAGCGGGTCTCTCGCCAGCGTTTTTGGGGTTGCTGTTGAGGGACGGGGAGAGTTTCCGTAGGCAGCTCCAGCTCGGGAAAGGGCCCCGAACTTGCGGCACTGCAGTGCAGCGGTCACCCGCGTTTTCAGAGCAATGGTTTCCGCGCTTACCGCAAGTACATCAGCTCCTGGAAGTCGTCCCAGGTCTGGGAGATGCAGATGACTGGAAGTGCTCTGGTGAGGGTCGAACGTTTGGTGGAGACGCTGCTTTGCTCCGCGGGCGTTCGGGACGAGTGTGTGGTGTGGTTATGTGCTGGTGCAGGAAAGTTAAATGGGTGATTTCCAAGGGAGATGTAAATGAATTGTACAGCAGAGCTTGCACTGAGCCCCGGAGGGACCTGGCCATGAGATGTGCTGCCTGCTGGCCGTGGCTGAAGCCCACTCCCATCAGGCCTGGCGTGGTTGTTTTCTCCTTCCTCCAGAGCTTCCCGTAGCGCGCTGGTTACAGCAGACCTCCCAAAGTGGTCGCAAAATAATGGGCCAAGCAGTCTTTGCACTGTGAACTCGTGGCACCTCGCAGCTGCTGCTTCTTGCTGCTCACCACCCCCCCATTCTAATGATCTCTTTGTTTGAGCCGTTCTCACCCCAGCCCCCCCTCGCCCCGTGGCGACGAGTTGCGATAGTGCTGTTATTGTCTGCTATTAGATGACAAGACTCAGGAGCACAGATACTGCACGGGGAGTGGAGGAGGAGCAGTGTCCTTACATGCCAACAGTATGTCTCTGTTGACTGTCAGCTTTCCCAAACAAAAGGTCTTTAACGTGTCTGTTACTTAGCAGTGGCAACGAACTGCTGAGCTGCAGACGAGGTGTAGGCTGAAGGCTCCCCAGCACTAGTGGGCACCAAGTCCAGACCTCCCACGGTGGCCTTACCTGTTGCTCAACCGTTCCGGACAGCGCTTGGCTTTCTCTGCCATGGCAGGTGCCTTGGGCATGTTCCCTGAAGGACACCTCCCTGAAAGCAAGGCTCCATCAGCGCAGGGAAGGACCGGAGCAGGCAGTGGGCTCACTGCTGGGTCTTGGGATGCGGTTTCAGCACGGTGGGGGTTTGTCTCTGGGCTGTGTTCGTGCGGAGGGGACGCAGTGGTGCTGCCAGCCCTGCTACCTGGGGAAGCAGGAGGGCCCTGCTTGGCCCCTGCTGCACCACGGCACGTCCGAGTGGCGAGCTTGAGCCTCCAGCACAGGGCCCGGATGTGTGCTTCGTGCCGGAGGGACGACGGCAGCAGGACAGTGGCTTTGCTGAGCAGACACCTCGTGCTTCAGTGAACAGCAGGTGAAGGGGCCAGCGTTAATGCCTCCTTGCGTGAGTTTCTGGGTGTCTTTTCCCCATCAGACGGGAGAGCAGGCATCTGGTGTTTTCTGGGGCTTTGTCCTTGTCCTCCCCCCTACCCACCTCTGGGCAGACAGGCAGTCTGCCTGGGATCGCTTCTCTGCCCTCCTGGATTGGGGACCTAACCTGCCCTGTGCCACACTGGGAGCTGGATGGAAGGGCTGGAGACCGGCTGGATGGTGCTGCTTCCCTTGCAACAGTGGGGAGGACAGTCACAGACTCATCTCTTTCTTCTCCTAAAACTGCAGGCTTCGTCCCGTTCCCATGCCACGCTCCACGGTGTGGGAACACCGATCTTGAGGCCACTCTTGCTGTGCCTCGGGGACTGCAGGACTTGCTGCATCCCCAGCGGGCAGGTTTCCTCGCAAAGATGCGTAGGGAACGGTCAGCAGGGAGTGAGTCCCATCCCGGGCTCGTGCTCGTACGCTGGCGGAGCGGGACTGCGCGGGCTGCTGCAGGGACCGATCCCGGTAATTCTGGAGTGCTGCTGCGTAGAGCTTTCAGGTGTGTGCCTGGGAGAGCACGCCCGGCACGGATCGCGTGCTCGCAGTTATTAAATCCCTTTGCTGACAGTGCACTGGGGAAACTTGTGTTAGTGTGTATGTGAGGCTGGAAGCTCTGGCGCAGCTTCGGCTCGGCTCTATCCAGTCCATGGATCCGTACTTTAAGCCCGTGCTACGTTCACGTTGTTACAACAGGTATAAAAGCTGTCGTGTCAGCTGGACAAGGGTCAAGCTGCAAACCCGTGTTCCTTCCCTTGATGGGATCCAAGGTTTCTGCGTAATCGCTGGCCGACTTGCAGTTCTCGTTCTAGACTTTGCCCTGGCAGAGGGAAGGCAGAGTTGTCTCAGGCTGCTCGGCCCTCTGGCCGCTCCGCCTGGCTCTTGGAACGTGCGCGGGACCCTGTGCGTGGCAGCTCTAAGGGTCGCGTTGTTTGGAGTAACTGCAGAGTTCGTGGTGTCTAAAATCAACAGCGTTGGTTTAAGGGGCAGGCCCTGTGCATCGCCATGGACGTTTCGTGGCCGGAGCGTTCCGTAGCTCCAGGATACAGCCCTCTGTGTGCCTCGTCACGGGCAGGGCGCCGTCGCTGGAGTCAAGCAATGGCAAATCAAAGCCCGGCGAGCCATCCTGCCATGGATGGTGGGCTTGCAGAATCCTGTGCTGCAAAGCGGCCAGCTGGAGCTAGAAACTTTGTTGTGTTTGGAGCAGCTGTGGGTGGGAAGTCTATCCAGAATTTAATAGTTAATGCTACGGATGTCGTAGCAATCACCTTGCTTAGGATGACGGATCCACTGGGGGATGATCCCATGCCTTTCCCCACAGCAGCCTTGTGCTTTCTTAGAGGGCAACTGTGGATGGGAGCAGGAGTCTGGGTTGGATCAGGGCTTACGGGAAAGCCTGGGTACCCAGCTTCATTGGGAGGAGCCTGGGGAAGCAAGGCGTGCAAGGAGCAGTGAAATTTTGCACAAGCGTTGGGATTTGGGTGGGCTTTCCCTTAAACCATAGGAAGGCTCTGTAGGAACTTCACCCCAACATAGTGGGGTTTTCTGAAGGAATCAGGGTAAAAACGTGTTTTCCTTCAGCCCGGTGTGCCTCCAAACCATGACTTGGTACGGGCCTTCTGCATGGCCCGTGCTGCAGTGCCCACGGAGACGTGCTTGCGGGTGTCCAGAAGTGACACGAGCCACAGTGAGATTAGTCTCCTTCCTCCCTTTGCTCTGCCTCGATCAGCGGGATTAGCAACACAAACTCCTCGTTGGACCTTTCGTATTTATGAAGGAAGCAAACCTTGTGCTGTGTTTCCTCTCTTGAGCTGGGGTTGTTTTGGGGCCAGAGCCTTTCTACTTTATTTGGAGCTCTCGAGTCCCTTACCTCCGAAAAGTCGAGGGAAGCCAGACGTCTTGTGGCACGGGGATGTTGCACTTCTGTGGGAATCTGTTCCTGAGGAGCACTGGACGCAGTTAATCCCTGGAAAGTCATTTCTGCGGTCCTGGTGGCGGCTGCCTCTTCAGGAGACAGCCAGAGATTCCCACTGTTCCTATGTGTGTCCGTGCCTTCCGGCTCCAGTGGTGGGACCAGCCCTTGGGTGCTTCTCCCGGAGCTGCGGCCCGTCCCTTGGCAGCTGGCTCCGGGCGGGATCCCTCTGGCTGTCCGTGTTTCTGGCATTGCCCGTGGCTCTGAGCAAAATGGGAAACAAAATGCTGGAAGGCTGTGCCTGGCCGGTTGAAAACCTGGTGGTATGTTGATGGTGGCTGGTCATCCGCGCTGCCCCGGGGATGTTTCCGTGTGGCGGTGGGATCGGAAGGAAGCGCTGAATGGCTTCCCTTGCTCGGCTGTAGCTGGTGTTCAGAAGGGTCTGGACTCTGACACCTTGCCAGGCGGTGGGGCCCTGGCACGGGCAGACCTCGCGGCGGTCTGGTTCATCGCCGCCCGGTGTCTCCGCAGGTGCCGGTACCTGGCGGTGCAGCTGTCCCCAGCCATCCCCGTGTTCGCCGCAGTCCTCTTCCTGTTCGCCATGGCCACGCTCCTGCGGACGAGCTTCAGCGATCCCGGGGTGATTCCGAGAGCCCTGCCCGACGAGGCAGCCTTCATCGAGATGGAGATTGGTGAGTGCGGAGCCAGCCGGCCGCCCGGTGTCTCCGCAGGTGCCGGTACCTGGCGGTGCAGCTGTCCCCAGCCATCCCCGTGTTCGCCGCAGTCCTCTTCCTGTTCGCCATGGCCACGCTCCTGCGGACGAGCTTCAGCGATCCCGGGGTGATTCCGAGAGCCCTGCCCGACGAGGCAGCCTTCATCGAGATGGAGATTGGTGAGTGCGGAGCCAGCCGAGCTGGTGACACCTGGAAGAGCCTCTGGATTTCTGGCGTATCCATAGGCTCAGCTCTTCGTA